GAGGTACAACACATGGTGGCCCCACTACACAGCTGGGCTCGGTGAAGAGCAGTTATCGAACTAAGGAGTGACTGTGATGCGACAGTATATATATGTGCAGGCAGAGCCTGACATCTGTCATCATCACATCACCTGCCTAAAGGCGTGACTAGAGGTGGCTTCAGCCAGGACACGCAGGGGCGTGGTTTCCCACACATGATGTGTTGTACCTCGTTCCTTTCCTTCAGGGAACAGTAGTTACATGCATAACATTACGTTTCAGTTGATGAGGATCAGTAACAACATTTACTGTCAAAACGTGGCTTGAATGCTGAGTGCTGAATGAGTTTCTGAGGTTAGTTAAAGAAGCTGAAACTGAATTGGTAAAGCTTAAAGAAGCAGAATACTAAAAACTGAAAGGGGCAAAAACACAACTAATAATGAAAAGTAGCAAAATGGTAGCTATTAGCTAACTATATCACAAGGCTAACTAAAGCTAAAATTAGCAAAATGCTATCTAAAATATCAAAAGGCTAGCTAAAAACTAGAAGTAGCAAAAGAATGACTAAATGTATCAAAGAGCTAACTAAAAGTTAAAAATTGTAAAATGTTAGCTAAAGTATTAAAAGACTATCTGGAAGCTAAAAATAACAAAAGTTTAACTGAAGTATGAAAAGACTAGTTAGAAAATGTAAACAACAAAAGTCTAGCTAGAAGCTAAAATTAACAGAAAGTTGGCTAAAAGCTAAAAACAATCTAAAGTGGAACAAAAAGTAGCAGAATGGTAGTTGAAAATTTAAAGTAACATAAGAAGACTAAGCGAAGAGAGAGAGAGTTTCATAGAGAACCACGTTTTTTTTTCAAGGAAATGAATCCAACTGAGCAATTTGGTGGGGAAAATGTGCGTGCATTTCGAAAAGCATTTACACGATTATTAGTATGTCATACTACTGTTTTGAAGAGATGTATTTATGTAGTATTCTGCATCCTTTTCTGTGAAATATTTACTAGAATTAGACCATGAATAATCATGTTGATTAAAACCAAACCTTCCAGGCTTCAGGAGCTTGAAGATCAGTATCGTAAAGAAAGAGAAGAAGCCAGCAACCTGCTTGAGCAGCAGAGGCTGGTGAGTAAAAACTGTTTCTCCACTGAAAAATACATTTTCTCCTCGTTCCAGCTCATCATAAGCTGACTTAAAAAAACACATACATTCCTGTTTTCTTCCAGGATTATGAGAGCAAACTGGAAGCCCTTCAGAGACAAGTGGACTCTCGTTATCTGGAGTCACCTGAGGAAGAGGAGGAGCCTGAGGAGGAAGGTATTGATACTGTTAGAGATTCAACCATCTTGATGTCAGGCTTTTATTTGATGAAAGTTGACTGACTCCTCGCCTTGATCTGCAGTGCCGTGGACGAAGCGTGAGACCGAGCTGGCTCTGTGGGCTTTCAGAAAGTGGCGTTTCTATCAGTTCACGTCGCTCAGGGATCTGCTGTGGGGCAACGCCATTTTCCTCAAAGAGGCAAAYGCTATCAGTGTGGAGCTGAAGAAAAAGGTCTGATAATATGTCTTGCAACAATGTTGCTTTACTTACAAATCAAACTTTTTGGCAAATGACATTTTCTGGAATTGTTTTGGTTTTGAGTTCTAACTTAATAGCAGTGGGAGCTAATGTTTAACATGTTCGCTAACTGTTATTACATGTGTACAGGTGCAGTTCCAGTTCGTCCTGTTGACAGACACGCTTTACTCTCCACTTCCACCTGACCTGCTGCCGCCCAGCGTGGCTAAAGAGCGAGAGCGACGACCCTTCCCTCAAACCATCGTAGCTGTTGAAGTGCAGGATCAGAAGAACGGGGCCACACATTACTGGACTCTGGAGAAACTCAGGTACCAAAWGTCTTGTAAATTTAATAGTTAAAACTAATTGTTTGGTCACAGCTGCAGGCATTTATCTGTAATATCAGTGTTTAAAAAAAAACGAAGGCATTGAACAATAGATTTATCAGCATTTTACAAAAGAATACACAGACGCTTACATTTATACGATCACAAGCTAATTTATATTTGTTCCACTGATTTCTATTTTGTTTATGTTGACGCCCCCTGCAGGCAGAGGCTGGACCTGATGAGGGAGATGTACGACCGAGCTGCAGAGCTTCCCAGCAGTGCTGTGGAGGACTGCGACCACGCCCTGACCGGAGGAGACCCGTTCTACGACCGCTTCCCGTGGTTCCGTCTGGTTGGCAGGTCGGCCGTCAAACGGAGTAAATGTGTGCGCAATAAAAGAAAAGAGAAGAAAAAAACTCATCCCTCTCTCTTCTTTCTCTTCAGGGCTTTTGTTTACCTGAGTAACCTGCTGTACCCGGTGCCCCTGGTGCACCGCGTGGCCATCGTCAGTGAGAAGGGAGAGATCAAAGGTTTCCTCAGGGTGGCTGTTCAGGCCATCTCAGGTACATTTAAACAATATATATATA